AGGCAGTGTAATTGCGGCTGGGGGCTTTTTTATCATGTGGCAGATACAACTGGTTTGCAGAGATTATATTGGCCTTCAAAGACCTTAGACCTGGCGGGATTAAATCTGAAATTGGTTATGCATTGGCTGTATTCTATGCACTAAGTTTGTTTTCATTTAATATTGTGTTTAAGGTTTTGTAATAAAAGGCTGCTAAGGACTTTCAACTCAAAATAAAATGTTGTCATCTGGTCTTTTCTGGAAAAAAGAGAGGGTCTAATTTGTGGGTGTTTATAGATAACAGGAGCCTTGGCACTCTGCAGGTACCCCAGTCATGTGTTTTGGCTTGATCTTGGCGTTAGAAGTGACTAATTACTAGTCATTTTAATGTGCATTATGGAGGGTTGGTGCCAACATAAAGCTGCTTAGGCAGTCGCCTTAGGGTGCCAGGATGGGTGGGGAAACATGCATTCCCAGCCACTTGCTTGCAATTTGAATTTTTAAAATACCTGTCTTCAGTTCCCATGTCCACTGATAAGACAATACAACCGGCTCTCTTGTACCGGGCCCAGGCTCTGTCAATACAGGGGGGATGGCTGTACTGCCTAAATCCTCTTGTGGCTCCCCCTGCAGCACTGCCAGGTTTTCCTTCACTCCCAACCTTCAACGGCACTGTGGGGAGATCCATTAAAGTATCTGTGCTCACACCCCCCTGCTGTCCGGGCCTCCCTGTGTGTTCCCCTTCCACTCACTGTCTGGGCCCCCCCAAGTGCCCTTTCCCTCGCAGTGCTTCCGACTTTGCTCTTTTCCTCTTCCACCAGCAGCAACTGAGGAAACACAGGAAGGTCAATTTAGGATGAAGAGCAGGTCCAATTTACCAGCCCCTTTCTTTCTCAACCAACGATCTCCAACAGGGCTGTTAAAATAATGTACAAAAGTTCAGCCCAGCTCAAATTTTCAATGCTGAGCGACATCCTCCATGCTGCACTCCATTACATAACTACGTCACATTACTAGTGCGGCTGTAGATAGTGGGGGGATGTGGGGAGTAAATAAACCCACCCCCTCATGGGAGTGGGAGGTTGTATTGTGGAGGAGAGGATGGGGCAGAAAAATGCCCCTTGCCTGTGTAGACAAAAATCCTTGCACTGGCCCTGACAGTATGGTCAGCAACTCTAGGTCACAGTGTCTATAATTTGGTGGAGTCTGGTAGAGTGTTTTTCATCTTATGTGTTTTTTTTAGCCTGTCCCTTTTAATCTGTCAGCAAAGAAGAAACCAGAGTTCCAGTGTGTCCTCTTGTATGAATGACAGGAATCCATACAATTCAGAGAATCTGTACAAGCTATAGTGATGCATAGAGAAGTGCAAATATTAATACAAAATGGGTAATTAATTAAGTGGGGTATTGTAATTTATATGACAAAGTTTCACGGCATGTCCTATTTGTCTTGAGTTCCTCAATCACATCCTCTGCCTTTGTACTGTTTGCAGCTTAAGGACTCCCAGCATCTGCAATTATAGTGAAAAACAGCAGCTAAAAAGCCAACTATTACATCATGTAGGGAGTATAATTAAGTAAAAGAAAGGAAATTCCAAATTGCAGATTACTGTAGATCCTTGATGAGTTTCTTTCCTGTTCTGCTGACCATATCTTTACCTTGTAAATACTTCCATGAAAACATGTCTTCTCCAATAACTTTGTTGGAAATTGGAAGCAAAGTCTGCCTTCATCTATCACCGCACTGCCGGCTGGAAACCTGAATGAGCTGAAAGTACCTTTGTATTCCTATTTCTAGAGCTGCAGACAGTATTTTAACACAGTAATATAAAGTAATGTTGTATTCTACCCATTAAAAATCAACATCATTATAAATGGCAGCTGTTAGTATTCTGTATATCTATTATTTTCTTGTATCTTCCACTATTCAGGCTAAAAACAATCTCCTAACCATCATTTAGGAAGGGTGTTCTATTAAAATGTGTGCACTGAAAGAGTATTTCTGCCACCATAGCAAAGCAGTTGCATCGCCACATAAGATCCCAGAGCTCAGTTCGCTTATCAAATTTAAAGGAAATTTGTTTCACACTAACTCAATACTGTAACAGATATTTCCTTTATATTTTGGAAGTGAACCATTTACTTAACTCTGGGATCCTATCCAGTATTATATAGTTACTTACCTGATAGTCATCAGACATTCTGAGTTATCAGGTCACAAAAACGTTATATGCCATTAAAGGTGGTGGACAAGTGATTTATTTCTGACTTGTTCATAGCTAAAGTTTTTTGGTTGTTCCAGTTATGTTTATAACAGGCCAAGATAAACAGTGGGGTCACTAAGCAAAGAAATCAAGTGCTGCCTATATGTATTTTTAGTGGGTCCAACCCTTGCACCATGGGGAGAGCTTGAATGCTCCTGGGCCCCCTGTGTGCTCCTCTGGTTCCCGCCTCCCCACAGAGCCACTGGCTTCCCTTCCTCTCCAGCCAGCTGCTGCGGGGGATCATTTCAGGATGGAAAGCAGGGAAGGGGCTGGTAAATATGCCATTTACCTGCCCCTTCCTTTTCTGAATAAACACTGTGAGTGATTGGTACTGATCACTCCCTGTGTTCATTTGTAATTGAAGCATAGTAAACTGTGTTTACTATGCTTCAGTTTGTGAATGAGAAGGGAGACAGTGCAGAGCTGTTCATGTTCATTTATTCTCTGCAGCTGAGGCTGCAGACATGGAGATTGAGCACTGTGTCTCCTTTCTCTGTCTCAAAAGAGAGATATCAGGGGTCTGTTTAAACCCTTGATATTTCACCAAAGCCCCCCAACAGGGCAGATAAAAAACTGTAAAAAATAAAAAAAAATAAAATTGTAAATAATAAAACAAAATAAAAATAAACCACTACTCACACCGTCTATTGCCTTGCTGTCACTATCCACTGCTCTTTTGACCCCGTTCTCTGCTCTATTGGCAAAGTCCACTGCCTTGCTGACACTGTCCACTGCTCTACTGAATGACACCATCCATTTCCCTACTGACACCAACCTCTGTCCTACTGACCGGTCCACTGCTTTACTAAAACTGTCCACTGCCCTACTGACACCGACCACACACCGTTCATTGCCCTACTGACACTGGTCACTTTTAAGGTAGGCTAAGTTTATATTTTTACAGTGACTTTTGCTTTATTATACTGTATGTTTATAAGTTTTCCTTACTATTTAGTGAGGTCTTGCTAGGTAATTTCTTTAAAAATAAAAAGGGTGCCAAGCTGCGGTGATCTTTGATCTCTTTCACCTTGGCTCTCCACCTCTCAAGGTTGCCTACTCCTGTTTTACACTGTGCCTCTGGGGAAAATGAGAAGTTTATGCCACATCACCCTGCATAGATAATTCTGTAAACTCAAAGGGCCTTGGCTGGCCTGGCACTGGCCCACCCAGGCTCATCTTGAATCCTTTGAGTTTCCAGTTTCAATTACACGAGTTGAGAGGAGCTTGAAGGGTCACAGGGGTTGCAATGGCAACCCTGTCCATTCTCCAGGGTAGGGTAGGGTATTGATGAGGTTTGCCAAAATGTGGACAGTTTCTCCAAATGTTTTACATTACTCTCTCAATATGTAAATAAAGATCTGAAAAAACTCTTTAGCCACTTGGAGTATCTTGGCGTGTGGTGGGAGTATCTTGGTGCTTGGTGGGAGCAGCAGTTGGTAGTAGGGGGCAACAGATCAACGTTTGCATTGGGGCCCACAAGCTTCAAGCTATACCTCTGCCTTGCACTGAAGCCCATAGAAACTTTTTGGACTGGAATGGCAGTTCATTTTACTGATCATCATGTATCAATGTGCCAACACTAAGAACTTTACACTGTTCAAAGTCACCACTCATACTAAAACCTGCCCTAAAACTTGACAGCTGGAATCCAAATGCTTAATTTAGTTTTTATAGTAAAACCAGACATTCTTATTTTAAAGTTGGTGCCCCCACAGTGTCAATCTGATGAGATCTCTGACACTGTAAATTACAGACATGTACAACACTGCAAAATAAAAAAAAAATAAAAAGTCGCAGTGCTTTTCTTTTCCAACAGAAGACCCCATACCAATGTGTGTGTGTACATATAATTACTTATGAATGCCCTAGTATTATAAATCCAAAGATACAGTAAAGGCTTCTCTCTTCATACTACATGCCTCACTTCCATAAATGTGATATATTGGTATGGGGTCTACTAAATTAGTGCTGCTGTGTGGGCAGTTCTTCTGTACTAAGAGCTCCCTCTCGATAGTGATCGCAGTGACACTCATAGGATTAACATGACAGCCTTCATCTTTATAACATAATAGAAATGCTCACAGCAGCACAAGCTCCTACTGCATGTGGTTAGAGACATTCCAATCTGATGAAAAGGCCCCAGAGATAAGTAAGTAATAGGGAGCTGTGGGAATCTGTGGCCAGTAAAAATATGAGTGATATAAGAATATGTGCGCATATACATTCTAATATTTAAATTCTTGTTTAACACTAATGTTGATTCAAGGTATAACATAATTTTCTAGCCATCTTGTAAACATCACCTTTGGAAAACATCACCTTTGGAAAACCATTTAGGAATAACACCATTACAACGTAAAAAGGTCACGAATTAGATTTTTAAATACATCCAGCTCTTTCTGTCTCTGTTTTAGCACCCTAATACCGTTTGACAGGGTGTATGTGAATAGTGTAACCTGGCCTGGCCTTACTGGGAATAAGTAAGGTAGAGCTCATATTAGCTGTTTCATCTGGCAGCAATTAATTTCATACAAGATTTTGAAACACGGACAAGGCAGATCTCTCGATAAGGGATTAAAGATAAAACTCCAAATCTGCAGGGCCTGGCAGTGGAATGTACAACAGCTACACATTTCCACGTCTCTATTCTTCAGTTTCTCAAAAAAATTGATAACGACGTGCACACAAAACAGACAGGGGAGAGGATTGCTCACCCTTAGAAAGTGATAGAAATTACTCATCTCATTACAAGAATTACCTCGGCTAATTTGACAGTGTGCTGGTTATCTTCTTCACAGAGTGGAATGTCTGCCCTTAGGACAAGTAGGGCCATATGTAACCCCTGCGAAAAGTACTGCGAGAGGGCTTTTCTCACTCTCTTCTTCACCTCTCCTGGCTCAGACTGCTGTGAGGGATACCAGGTGTGTCCAGCACCTGCAGTTGAAGGCCCAGCTCCCTTCCCATCCGGCGAGTAAAATTGGGCATTCGTGTATTCTGCACAGTCGGCAGTCTTTGGTCACAGAATGTGGGAAAAACTTGCTCTCAAATTCGTAACTTCCCAGCAGGCTGTTTCCGAGAGAACTTTTACCACATTTCGTCTTTCCCAGTAGAAGCAGATTAATGGTGATCTCATTATTACCCTCCATTCCTTCTCTGTCAAAATAGAGTAATCACAGGACAGATGTTAATATCAGCAACTTCGGGATTTATGGCTTGCAGGTTATATCCAAAGAACACCTATAAACGAGCAGATTCATGCCAAGCTGTTAGATGTAAGACTCTAGGTCATAACAACGCCGCATCCTGAGGACATGTGAAGACTATTTTATGATGCTCTTCAAAAACAATGTAAAAAATATATGGGTCCCCATGCTGCCCCACTTTTTACAGCCCAATTCCCACTGTGATTAGAGAACATACATTGCCTATGATGAAAAGTGGATATACTATGCTGTGCAGTGTGAGCAAAAGGATTACGGAGAATGAAATTGTAATCTTATTACATTTTACCATATCCTAGTGTGTGGACATACTGGAATGCTACGTGTTTTATACAGTATAGTGATGTTTTTACTTTTTAAGTAAAAACTTAAATTTTTAACTTTTTAAATCATTATTCTTAATAATAGCAAAATTAGTTCTAGCATATACCAAACAAACACTAACAAAGTCCCACACTTACATACTATAAATTATGCTGGCTAAATTAAAGCAGTATTAAATCCCCAAAAAATTAAAGAGAAACTTCACCTGAAAAGTGAAGTTACAGTCTTCCTCCTCCCCCAACATGTTTGGGAATTTTTTTTTTTTTTTTTTGGGAGGGGGGGCAGGTACCTGGTTTTGACAGGTACCTGCTCCCGCTCTGATTACCTAGGATGAAGCTATCCGACCATGAAAAAAAAATGTAATCTCATATACCATCAAGGTTTTGAGTTGAAAAGTGAACTATCCCTTTAATGTTTACCATTAGTTGGCAATGCACAGGGGTACAAAGCAGTAAAAAAAAAAAAACCTTCCTAATCAGTATTAGCCCAGTGCAATGTGCTATTCCATATTTTCATCATATGATTTATTTTTTAATTTCAGAATATATATTTCACATTCTAAATACGATAAGTAGCTGTTGCAATAAAACAATCTATCATATTATTATTATTACACAGGGTTGGAATATTCTAATACTTAAATTATAAGCATAAAAAACTGAGCTATTAGCAGGTGCACCCATTCATACTAGAAATCCTATTTGCATATACATACAGAATGGCCAAATACATTTCTAATTATTACTTCATCTGATGATTTCATGGAAATGATAGTATTTAGGAGCTGCTTTAATTAAAATTAATACAAAAAATTAGTTCTATCTGCTTACCATGCGTCTTGAACAGTGTGAGATGTAGGGAGTGAACTTTAGCACAGAGATGATGCTATCCCTGGTACCATACTCAGGGGAGTACAGTATCTTTGTATTGGTTAATGTGTTACAAAGGGATCAAAGTTTATTGAAGATAAGTATCCATACGCTCAGCAGACACTGAGTTTTTCAAACAACTCCTCACAACTGTCAACAGCCAGTTCAATTAATTTTCTTTCACACAGGTAAAAAAATTACAGAATAATTTGCTCGACGGGATGCACATTCCATAATGCTATAGTGATCGCCTTTATCAAATACAAACACCCATGGCTATTTGCCACGTAAGCTCCATAAACTCTTTTACTATTCTTTAATAAGTACTTGAATTGTTTATTGTTATTGTTAATTTTCTTCTTTAGTGAATTTTAAATTATTCTTTATATAAGTTTTGATCATTCCGATTTATGTGCTACAACCTTGGACTTGGCAAACAATAATTTTGTGTCTGGATATCAAAGACAACTCAGCAGAGTCTCTGCTGCTTATTAAAAAGTCGTTTTCACCTTTTCCTTTTTCTCACAAACAATGAATGGTTTAGGGCAGGCCATGGGAAGATGAGTCTCTGCAATAATAATTATGTTCAGGGGGTGGTTTAAGGGGACATTGTTAGCCACATATGCCTAGGGCAATAGATTCTAAATGCAGCCTTGAAGATTATTGATGATCCCTTATGTCTGTTTTTCCTTTTCCTTTTTCACGGTTCATTTCATTTGGAACATCATATGTGAAAATTATCTGGAAAACATAATAAAAACCTTGGTCATTTTTATATTTCTGATAGTAAAACCATACAAAGCATAAAACAGATAAACATATGTTTTTGATTGGCAAACAATATACATTATATGTGTTTACATATGTGTGTGTCAGTTCTTTCTGTGATAGTCAGGTTTTTTTTTTAGCAATCAACTGACAAAAAAGTTTAACAAAACTAAAAACAAGCGCTATTTTTTATGCTGATAAGTGTTAGTTTCAAAAATAGTTCTATCATAGATGAAAAGTATACATTTTATTCTATCATTCATTCAATTTGAAATGACACTAAAACTATGATGCTGGTACAAGGCATGGAAAAGTTATTGAATTATTTACAACAACAACAAAAAGGCTTTTTTTTCAATTCTGCATTGTGTTACAATGAAAAAATGAACAAACAAAATACACAAAAAATGTAAAAAAAAAAGAGCTTAAATGTTGATGGTTAGAAATCTAGAACTACAAAAATCAGAAAATAATATTTCAGAGGAGATGGGGAAGAGTAAGATAATTCAAAGACTGATTAGAGTAAATATGGTTAATAAGGGTTTAATAGGAACAAATTTAATTAAAACAAAATATTTTTTGTACTTGCCCGTTTGCTTTAGGCTGGGTTCACATCTATTCAGGTTGTGGGTGATGCATTTTTTCGGCACGTTTTGCATTTTTGAACACGTGTTTTTGCTGCGTTTTGCATTTTGCGTTTTGTTTTTAGCAAATTGGAAGGTATGACAGTTCTATTCATGTAGTGTGACTTTAATGTGACTTTACATTCTCAGGCATTCAAGTAGTATCAAGGTAGCTTTAAAGTCACATCAAAGTAGTTCAGGAACATTTATGTGTCCAAAGTCGCATGCTAGGGTTAAGGGCTAGAGTTAGGGTTAATAACTAGGGTAAGGGTTAAATGTTAGGGTTAAGGTCTAGGGTGAAATGTTTGGGTTACGGTTAAGGGATTGGGTTAGAGTAAAATGTTAGGGTTAAGGGCTAGGGTTTGTGGTAATCATTAGGGTTATAACCCTAACAATTACTGCTAACCCTAACTCTAACCCTAATCCTAACATTTAATCCTGATCTTAGCACTTAATCCTAACCCTAGCACTTTAACCTAACATTTAACCCTAACCCTAATTATTAACCCTAACTCTAGCACTTCACCCTAACCCTAACGGGGGATTTTAACTACCCGGAAATTGACTGGAGTAATGGTACTGGAGGAACAGTTAAAGGGAAAACATTTTTAAATCTACTACAGAACAATTTTATGGTACAGTTCATAGAGGTCCCTACTAGAAATGATGCTCTGCTAGACCTGGTAATCTCAAACCATGCAGAACTTATTACAAATGTCCATATAAAAGAACATCTCGGTAGCACTGACTATAACATGATTTCATTTATTGTTAGCTGTAAACAGCAAGCACATACAGGAAAAATAAAAAAGCTCAATTTTAAGAGAGCTACTCTCCAAGACTTAGACTGGGAGGGAATATTGGCATCAATGAAACACAACACAGAAATAGGCTGTATGTGAACACAGTGCAAAATATGTTCCCATGGGCAACAAGTTTAAAAGGCTAAAAATCAAACTTATGTGGCTTACGCCCAAAGTTAAAAAAGCTATAGATAATAAGAAAAGAGCTTTTATGAAATATAAAAATGAAGGCACGCTATCATTGTTTAAACATTACAAATAATATAACAGAATATGCAAAAAGGAAATAAAGGCCGCAAAAATGAAAATGAATGACAGATTACAAAAGATAGCCGGACCAACCCCAAAAAATTCTTCAAATATATTAATAGTAAAAAGGTTCAGTCCGAGCATGTAGACCCTTTACAAAATAATCTAGAGTGGGTGACTGGGGACAAAGAGAAGGCAAATTCTTCAGCTCTGTGTATACAAAGGAGCATGGGGGAGCTCTTGTCCATAATGGGCATGGTATTGACACAGCTCCAGATGATCCACATTGGCTGACAATTGATATGATCCATAAAATATTTAGACAGAATAAAGGTGAATAAAGCACCTGGATTGGATGGCATACAACCACAGGTCCTTAAAAAATTGAGCTCTGTCATTTCAAAGCCATTGCTTCTAATTTTTAGGGACTCTGTCATGACTGGCATAGTACCACTGGATTGGCGTAAGGCCAATATGGTGTCAGTATTTAAAAAGTGGTCAAAATCTTTACCAAGTAACTATAGATCTGTTAGTTTAACTTCTATAGTTGGGAAGATACTGGAGAGTTTAATAAAAGACCACATAGATGAGTTCTTGCTGGAAAAAAATATTTTAAGCAACAGACAGCATGGATTCATGAAAGACAGAAGTTGTCAAATAAATCTGATTTCTTTTTGAGGAGGTGAGCAAAACCTTGGACAGAGGGGTGACGTGGGTGGGTGTGGTATACTTGGATTTTGCAAAAGCGTTTGACACAGTTCCCCACACAGGGCTAATGTGCAAGGTAAAGTCTACAGGCTTGGAAAAATCTGTATGTAAATAGATAGAAAACTGGCTAAAAGATTGTATTCAAAGAGTAGTGGTTAATGATTCATACTCTGAATGGTATAGGGTCATCAGTGGTGTACCCCAAGGTTCAGTGTTGGGAGCCTTACTTTTTAATATATTTATAAACTATATAGGGTCTGGGATTAAA